AGCCCTCTGGCCAGGCAGTGTTGTTACTTAACCTCCAGTAGCGAAACTGCCTTGTTTATATAGGCAGCCCTGAGCCTAAAATGGCTGCCCTCATTAGGCACCTGGAGGCTGCCAGCTCCAGGGCCTTAAAGTGGCAGGCACACATACTGCCCTGCCATACCCGTCTCTGAAATAGAAATACAGTAACTTTGGTAACTAAAAAATGTTGGCTCTGTGTGTAGGAACATTGCTGCCACTGTTGCTCTCACCAATGCATAAACAATACTTTAATTAAAAGGATAAAAGTATATACTAAATAAGTACCTCTACTACAGGTTCTGCTTGGTTGTTATGGAATCTGAGAATTAAGTTAAATGATTAAAGAATAAAGTAATTATAGGGGATTTAAATGCCAGCTACTTTATCCTTTATTGAAGAAATGTCAGTGAAGGTTTGCATGGACAACAAAGTAATTTAATTTAACTGAGGAATGGAAATTTTATATTTGAGAGTTGCCTTTACCAGCTTTGTAATGGTCTCTGTGTTGGAATCCAGTCACATATCTTCCCTTTCAAGCAAACTAGAATTCTCTGACATATAAAACATGTTAAAATTAAATGTAAAATTGATGTTTTCTTAAGAATGTTCATTTATGGGGTTCAAAAGTAATACAATACCTTTGTCAAGGATACTCTGATCATAGCAAATTCAGATAGGTTAATAAGCCATATTCTGTAGGAGCCCCTAATCTGAGCACCTTTGTTTACCAGCATCAAGTGGAAGTGGAAAGGCAGTGTTTAAAGCTCACATACTCATGTAGTACAGTTTGGAGTGTGAGACGCTATATGCTTGTGTGGATTTCTCGTGATAATAGCTTTGTTAAGATCTATGTACTTTTCACCTCTGCCATAGCTGGAGCTTATTTCAGGGCCCCTCCTCCTGCCATTTGACATATTCTTTACCAATTCTTTTCCTAAGAAAAAGTTCTGTGGATCTCAGTCCATTCTTGTTGCCTCTTCCACTCTCCAGTTGACACTGGCCGAGCAATTTGCTATAAACAGAGGTGGATGGAAAGTTGGGCAGTGAACTTTAGGCCCCCTGATACATGTCTTTACAACAGGTCTTGGTTTTTTTTACTCAGTCTTAGACCGATGCAAATGACAGTTATAATGACTTATCTTTAAATTATTTCTTCTATATGGTTGTCATTTAAAGAAAACTTGATTTCATCTAAACATTTTCCAGGTATACAACAACTTCATGTTTTTTTCTGTGAAGCACCCATTGATGGCTAATACCCCAGGAGATGGCATAATACACCCCTCAAGCTTAAATATTTAAGAACATCATTTTCTGATACATATTTCGGGAAAGAAGCTATATTCTGTTTGTACCTGTCTTGTTTTTGAGCTTACCATTGATACTTAGTAGCTTGTCCTGATTCTTAGGCTCTTAACATAAGTCTGATCACTCTGATGTCACCCATTTTATGTTTCAGTTTGTGATGAGCATAAGGAATTCAAAGACGTCAAACTTTTCTACCGCTTTAGGAAAGATGATGGAACATTCCCACTGGATAACGAGGTGAAGGTGTTCATGAGAGGCCAGAGGCTATATGAAAAGTATGTTGTGTTCAATGTCCATAGTATGTTGACAATAATAGCAGGAGAGACAAATGTTTTATTTATGTAACCTCAAATATTCTGAAATGTCCCCATTGCACAATACTGGATATATTTATATATTTACAATACTGGATATCACGCTATTTTATTTATCACTCTCATTCACCCTTCCCATTTCCCTGTTGTTCTCTGTCAATCTCACTTGTTTTGCATTAGATAGTAAATCTTCTCTTTTACACAGCAAATTCTTTTAATGTGCTTGTATGATGGAGCTCCAGTACCCATTGGAGTCTTTGTGCACTGTCACATAATAATGGCAGATCTGGCATTTAAAAATGCAATCAGGAGACTTAAAACAAAATGTCTGAAACTAATGGCCACGTGATTATTAAAGCCTCATTACTGTGACATTTGTACTTGACATAATTTTAGAAAACAAGAAGCAAATAATCTTCAGTGATTTCGCCTCCTGTCCTCTTCTAGCAGGAAGATTACATTAAAACTAGTTGCAAAAAAAACAGTCCAGATCCTCTAATTAAGATTTGAAACAGATGGTTACTCTGAAACACTGAATATCCCATTGGATTACTTGTTATCAAATAACCGAGGAGTGTAACCATATTGTCCATTCTAGAACCAATATAATTTTTATTCAGGCCGCAGGGATTGTAATATGGTTGTTTCAGGGAGAATGTATAAAATGTGTGTGTTGACACTTACTGGAAACTGATGGTGCAAATATGTGAACAGATGTGTTACTTTCTAAGATGTTGGAAGTATTCTCCAGGCTAATTCTAGTCATCAGATAGGACACACGTGCTTGTCTAGGGCACCAATTGTACAGTAGCAATGAAAATCACTGTGGCTAGTTTGACCTAGTTTCTTCCCCCTTGAAATATGGTTGCAATGAAAATTCATGCCAAGAAAGCTTAAAAACTCAGGGGCATACAATCAATCCCGTCAGCCTGATTTGCTGTTTGGTGCCTAAACGGCCTGAGAATTTCTGGAGGATGATTCCTGTCTTCTGTTTGGCCTGCAGAGGAGGAGTGCAGAGAAGTATGTGATCACCCAGGAGGAGTGGCAGAGGGTCAGCAATGGGAAAAAAAGTGCCAGATCCATAGTGCATAGTTAACTCTGCTGCTAAGTAACAGGGCAAGTAGTTTACGGCTTCTCTGGAGAACTCACTCGACATTCAGTTTGCTGCCTTCCTCTCACAGACCCCTGGAGCAGTCAGTGTCAGGAGCAGGGCATGGTGGATAGCAGTTTGTATCAGCAACTACTCTCGCAGACACCACCCATGAAGCAGAGCAATAAGCAAGACAGCCACCAGGGAATTGGGATGGGTGTAAGGTGAAGGCAGCATGGTGTAGATGGGACTGTCTGGGTTAATGGCCAGCCAAAGGCAAGGGCATGAGGAACATGGGCCACTTCCTAGTTGTAGATGTATGCAGGCTACTTAAAGTGTGGGCCTAAAAAAACACAAGCTAAACTGTTCTACAGCAGGTGTAAAGTTTAATGTCTTTGCTTTTTCTTTGGGATGAATCTGGCAACCATTTCTTGCCTCCAGTAAAAAGAAACAGATGGTGCTTTGTTTTCAAAGGGAAATGGTCCTGTGGCTGAAACCAGTTTTCAAGTGGTTGTATGTTTTAGGACCACAACTTTGGGTCCTGACAGAGGTAACCTGGCCTTTCTTTCTGAAGTAGATTAACCAATATCCCTTCATTTGGTTAGGTGAGTCCCTTTCAGCTGAAGACTAGAGAGCCAAGGCTTTTTCTGGTGTGTATGGATGTTAATGGTCTTGTGGCACTTTTTTAATAGCCTAGGTTATTGTGGCCTCTTCTGTCAAGATATCTCTGCTTTGTCTCTCACTGTTGTGCTGCTGCTACTTTCCATTTCGAAGTCAAATACACTTCACTGGTGATAGATATCATAAAGTGTTTCATGAATACTTGTGATGAGAGGTTCTGTAAAATAGCATGTCCTTATTGCATCTCTCCAGGAAAGACCCAGAGCAGTGCACATGTCTGTGTAGTATCATTATATCCTTATTACGGCTGCCGTACACAGATACAGATAAGCATAGATTTTAATGCTGGTGATGGATGTTGTTTCATACTTCAGAGAGAATGGAAAAAACAGTGAGAGAGAGATCAAACTGAAACGTAAAGCATTCTTTTCTCTTTGCCTTATACATATTACACAAGATTTTCAAGTTTCTTGAAACTCAGTGCCTATTTAAACTGCCTAAAACACTAGAAAATATACTGCGGAGAACAAGCCTATTTTGGGAAAGGGGTATCAGTGGATGACTCAGTAGGTCTTTCTCATCTCAGAGTTTTGTTCTGCCACTCCTTATCTTGTTCAGTGTTTAGGTAAGTGAAGGTAACACACAAGGCCACTCCCTTGGGCTGTTCTGTTCTAGAAATGGTTTGGTAGTATAGTTATAATAGGAAACTCCTCGTATAGAGAGAGCTGAGATACCAGCAGAATCACTCTTTTGCTGGTATAGTTAATGCCATGCTCCTGAATGAAATAAGCCATTTATGTCTGCCATCGTATTTACAAATATAGTAATATTTTGCCTGTATAGAAATGTCAATAAATAAATAAAACAGGTGCTTCTAAATGCACCTCTTTGGCTCCTACACTTTGGGCACTTCTATATATTCATTAATATGCTGTAGTTACGGCGCATTAAGTTTAGTACTTGGTTAGCCAAGTATGAAATCAGTGCGCAATAACTCATGCTATTTATTGTGCAGTAGCGCCAGCACATGGGTTTTTCATGATGCTTACTACGCAGTAGCCTAATACTACTGCGCAGTAGTGTATTAGCATGGTTTTTGTCCAGCCCACTACTGCACAGTGTTATTATACTACTGTGCAGTTAGCATCTCATGTAGACGTGCCACTATGTAAGATTTTCAAGGTTCCTGAAACCTAGTGCCTATGACTCTCTGACTTGGCAGAAATACTAGAAAACAAACACTGTGTTGACCAGGTCTGATTAATGCAAAATATAATTCAAATTACAAAATCTGTGGCATTTTAAAACCAGTAGATGCATCTATTTAGAGTCAGAGCTAGTAAAATTTTCTCAGTAGGCCACTTGCTTCATATGAAGTGAAGAATGCAAATTGTGCTTTAGGATATTGAAAGGCTGTCTGAACTATTATTTAGCTAAAGCAATATGCAGAAAACTGTGATTAAGCAAATAAAATACATTTCTTATTCTTACCCCTATGTACCCTCCTACAAGCACCCTCAAAGTCTCATTAAATATGTTTTAAATTCAAGACCTGGTATAGAATGTGTTCCAAAAGAGCTGTAGGATAAAGAAGAATATTTTGTTCTTAAACTAATAGACTTGCCCTTTTAGGAAAAAATAGAAACCTGAGGGCAATGGAGGGGAATATATTTTTGACAGATTGATGAGTACTACTACCATATAGTATATATAAACAAAGATATAAAGTTACTTACCCAATCTAACCTTTCAATGCATTTATCCAAGTGCCTACAATTCTTATTTCAAAGCAGAGGAGGCAATGCTTAATATTGGTCAAAGAAGATGAATTTGAGTCCAGGACATGTTATATTTTATTTAAATCCATGTTAAAGATCTGTTGGGTTGTTGGTTTTTTTTGCTGACCTTTGCTTTGCAGTTTGGTTTTAGCTAGAGCACTGTAATATTATTCTCTCTGTCTCTCCAACAGAAAGGAGCATGGTTATCGTTCATATGCCAGAACAGTTTGTACTTGCCAAAATTACATCTATCCACTGTCATCATATGTAGATTTGTACCTTCAGTGGATATTTATGAGAAATAGGAATCAGGAAAATAAACAAGTTGTTGCATGAACAACAAAACTGATTCATTCACCACAAAGGTTGTAATATGCCTCTCAGGTTCTTCCAGTCATTTTGCTTAAGGTTAATGCCCTCTGCTCAAACCCTAGATATTGAAGCACTGGGCCAGCCCTTGGTTGCAGGACTCTTTTCCACTCACATTCTCCCCTCTAACCATTGTGCTTCTATAGTTTATCTCCTTCATCTGTAACACATGGCTTCAGTGACGCTAGTGGCATGAGTAAGAGTTTCAGAATCAGTCCTTCTTTTCGGGACATGACTGGCTATGTTCTTGGAGCCTTGCTGTTAAGGCTGAAAAAGGTGGGGCAAATTTCATCCAGTGCGAATGACCACATCTTCAAGAGAATTTAAAATGCCCACTATTTTTACTGATTATTTTCAAGTAATTTATTATTCTTGTGTTTAAAAATTCCTGGTTATCCAAGCCTAAGAATAGAACCCACAACTTAATAATTAGGCCCTGGAAAGCTGTGCTGTTTGAGGTGTCCCAGTCTTTGAAGCACTTCACCCAGTAAGGGTACAGATGTACTTGGCTGAAGAAGTGCTTCAAAACTGACCCTCCAAAAACAAGACCTGAGGAAGGGTACTATAATACCTGAAAACTTGTCTAAATGTATCCCAACCATGCATTTAGTCCAAAAAAAGATATCACCCACAAAAGTTCTTGCCTCTCAAAAAACATTTTTAAGTGCCTTCTGAAGTTTGGTGTACTCCAGCAGTCCTCTGCCCATCCCACAGTGCTCTACCTACCCCTCACTGCTGGATGGAGTGGAGGGGAAGGGAGGGGAGCAGGGCAGACAGGTAGAAAGTGGTCTTCTGTGCATTCAGCTGTCCTTGGCAACCTCTGGAGATGAGTCTGAAATTAGCAGTCATACACCCAACATGGAGAATATTGGAAGCGAGTAGTAGACGATATGGAAGCCTGTTTGGATAGTTATAAATGGTGAATGAATGTGTTAAAATTGAATTTTGCTCATGCACAGTTCATTAACAGATACAAGGCTACATTTTTCAGATAATTTCTTCACACACACATTATTCAACTCATCAAAGTTTCCCAATTGGTCTTCATTTGTTATAAGAGGAAATGTAATTTTGTTAAATCACAAGACAGAGAGTCAGGAGCTCTGCATCCCATTTTATCCTTCCACAGACTTCTTGTCTCAAATGTCACTTAAATTGTGTGCACCTCAGCTTCTTAGTCTTCAGTTTGAATTCCAGTTGCTACTGGCATTGGTACCCATCTCTTTCACTTTGAATTGAGAGGGGTACCTTGTTGGCCAAAGTGAAAAGAGCTCCTCCCATCTTTCCCAGAGGGCTCCAGCACAAGAAAAGTTGAGAAACATTACCATGCTGCCTCTCAGAGCAATGGAGTTTGATGTTTTAAAGTTATCATAGAAATTTGTCATGCAGAAATATCAGAGTAAGGATTTAACTGTTAACCACATGCAACATTACTCCAATATCATAACCATGAGCTGAAGATGATTATGTTCCTCTAGCTATTAGATCTTCATGAAACTTCCTGATTTCAGAAATGGAAGAGATGGGGATGGTCATTTAAATTGTATGGATGCCTTTTGGAAACACTTACACTTGCACCCATCACTAGATAACTAATTTATTGAAACTTAGGGGGGGGGGGGGGGTGTGTGTG